CGAGGGTTCGGATCCCACATACAGACCGGTTCCCGCTCACTGGCTGAGAGAGGTGCGGGCGTGACGCCGAGGGTTGTGATCCCGTTGCTGGTCCCGGTCCGGTGCGGGCGCTACACTGAGGGTTGCGATCCATTGCCGGACACGATAAAAGACAAAAAGGAAAAAAACAAAAAAAAGAGTCAGTGGTCTTATAAATAATCTGCTCTGCCCTTGAATGGTAGGACAGTCACATTGGACCTGGCTTAATGGTTGCTGGAGAGAGGACTCAGTCTTAGGAAAAATCAGAGTTGGGACTGAAAATAGAGCATGTACCCATAACAAAAGCATGGCCCAAGATAAAATATTTTCTCAGGAGGGAAACAGAAGAATCAATTGATAAGGCTGGACACTCGGAGACTGATCCGTGAGGTATGGAAATCAGGAGATTCCCTTTAGATCTCAAACTGAACTTCTTTCTAGAAGGATTCATGGGTTTTATTAGACATAGACTGGGACTCTCAGGGGGTCCATACTGCAAGTTTGTAGGGTGGTATGTCTTCTAAGAAAATCTGAAAAATGATGCTGCCATTTTAGATTAAAAAACAAAGGCGAAGTTCTTTGCCTGAGAAACTGATTCCCACTGCTTTTCTTCTCCCCCCTCCCCTGTCGCCTCTTCCCTTGGGGTTGTCCTCCACCAGACCAGTGCATCCTTCGACCTGGCAAGGCAGGGCCCGCCGTCGAGCCCTCCCGGACGGCCCTGTCTGTCACCTCTGCTGTCATGCTGCTGCTGCTGCTCGGGGCCGCAGTGATCGTCTGGAGGAAATCTCGGGGCCGAGCACAGGCCGCAGAAAAGGCGGGCTATGAGAAGCTGGCAGAGGCCGGCAAGGCCTCCTCCTCTAAGAGCAGCTATGGCCAGAGCACCAGCTTTGAAGAGGACCAGGTGATCGAGTACAGGGACCAGGACTATGATGAGGACGATGATGATGACATTGTCTACATGAGCCAGGATGGCACCGTCTACCGAAAATTTAAGTACGGGCTGCTGGCCGAGGAGGATGGTGACGAGCTGGAGTACGATGATGAGAGCTACTCCTACCAGTGACTGGAGTCCCCTGCCCATCTGGGGACAGGCTGCCTGTGGGCATCACTGGGTCTGGCTCTACCCCCACACCGGGCTGATGTGTGAGTCTTCGCGTTTTGTCTTCTTAACCATGAATCCAACCAGAATTTGTAAGAATGCTGAAATATTTCGTCCTTCTTTTGGGTGCCTAAATTCAACGAACACTTCCTGGTCAACCAAAATTGAGGAGGCATTTTCCTCGAAATATGTCAAGACACAAAACGCAGGAAGTGAAAACGACTGAGATTTGTACAAACTCCTTCATGTGATTGAAAAGAAGGGGAAGTGGTGGACCTGTAGGAATTCTGTTTCCCAGCTGCCTGGGGGAGATGTCTACTGCCTCTGGAATTCTACTTCTTTAACTAATTTTGGTGTCAATGGCGATACTAAAGAGGTGTTGGTCTGGGGGATTTTTCTCCCCCTTTAGTTGTCTTTAGGCAGAAATTTGTTTTGTAAGGGCCGAGAAAAGAGGGTTGTTATCAGTTGAACCCATACCTGCCCTGGTGAGCAGGAGAAGCTGCCTCTGCTGAGGCTGCTCAGGATTGTTTCAAGATGAGGACGGAGGCTCAAGATTGCAGGGCACGGGTTCCCCTGCTGTACTCCAGGATTTTCATGATTCTAAGGGCCGGTAATGCTCAGGCAAAACACAGCCTGCAGCTCACCCAGCGAGAAAGGCATCCCCAGGTTCTCAAGAATCACAACCTCTTGATTTTCTAAGAGCTTTTCTGGTAAGAAACTTCAGCTAAGACATCAAGTAATAAAAGAAAAATGACAGAGTTAACCTAACATAAAATGAGATAAAACTACAAAAATTTCTGCCACTGTAAAAAAAAAAAGACGTTAGCTACTAAATCAGATGAACTTTCATCAACAACCTGTCACAGACTGTGGACTCTTCACAGAAAATATTGGAATAGAGTCTAACATGGAAAAAAAATCCCACTGTGCTGCTCCCAAGCTGTAATCCAGCTGCCGACCAGACTTCCAATCCTCCTTATTACTATGATTTTTGTTACTAGATGTCCTAGGCTTTCCTTTTTCCACTCTCCTGTCAAGTGTGCTCTGTGGTTCATGCACCTGGGGACAGTTTTTCTGCAGATTGTAATACAGAGAAATTATGTAAGCAAGGTCTCCAGCATTTCCTTGTCAAAGCAGGAGTTACAGGCAGTAATAGGAGTGGAATACCAGAAAGTGAAAGTGACACTTTCAGATGATGGTGATAACCAAAGTGAAATCTATTGCACACCTACTATGTACCAGATACCAAGCTAAATAATTTCTCTAAAAAAAACCCCACTTAACCCACTTAATACTTACTGTAACACTATGAGGTTGGTATCATCATTACCCTATTTTTATAGGAAACCTGAGGCTTACAAGAGGTTATATAACTAACCCAAGATCACAGAAAGTTAATCAAGATTCAAGGAAAAAGAATGACCCTAAACCACATATTCTTAGAAGCTATGCTACACTGACAGATGGTGGGAAAATAAGCATCCTAAGTATAATAAAGGCATGTCTATTATCTTATTCTGTGATGCCAGTATGCATGCTTCTGACAACTGTATTATCTTTACTAAATTCATGCTTTTTTTTTAACACATAACTTATCACTGACACAGGAAATCTCTGTGAAGAAGTCATCCATTTACTGAAGGCTTGTGTTTCTTTAGAAGAAAGCTCTTAAAGCAAGCGTTGGTAAACATTCTCTGAAAAGACCCACCTAGTAAATACTTTAGGCTTTGTGGGCCAGAGTCTCTGTATAACTACTGGACTCTACCACTGTAGCGTGAACGCAGCCAGTGCACAACACATGGGGGAGCTCTGTTCAAATAAAACTTTATTTACGGAAATTTAAATTTCAGATAATTTTCACATATCATAAAATATTATTCTTTTGATTTTTTTCCCAACCATTTAAAAATTTAAAACTATTCTTAGCTCATGGCAGTACAAGAACAGGTGGTGGGCCAGATTTGGCCAACAGTCTGTAGTTTGCTGACTTCAGAGATCACGTGTCTCATATACATATATAATTTGCTTCCAAAAATTTTGATCGTTTAAAATTATCTCTTCAAAATCTGTTTGAAGCCTGATAGTTCCCTTTTCAACTCTTAGAAATATATAAAAATTCAGGTAAGGTAGGAAGAATTTTTCATCTCTTGCTGTGTAATTGCAGAGTTAGCCTACAAAAACAAGTAATTTTGTTTATACTGTGTTGTTCATCCTCCTTGATAACTCTAAAGCTCTGATGGACTGTCTGACATTTCTTTCATAGCCTAGAAATTGTTTTCCAAGAAAAATCTGTATTTATAATACACAGTTCAAGGTTGAATGAGGTCGAGGTGACCTTGAATACTAAGAAAATTGTGTTGTTACTGTATGTGACCTGCAATGAAAAGAAGGCTCCTGCTTGTGTATTGATGAGGTTTGACACCTTTCCTTCCTTGTTCCTGTCATACCACGTTATTCTCAGACTTCTTTTGAATACTGTACTAACACCCATCTAAATAGATAAATGTGTGGTTGGAAAACAAAGTCACCTTTTGGTTTTCTGTTTACAAATAACTTGGAAATATTAAGATAATCCTTGTAGACTGGAAATACACCAAGAGGCTGGGAAAAAACTTGGAAGGTTTTGGTTTACATTAGGTAATTTTAAAATTGGAAATAAAATTAAATCAAGACCAGATGATGCTATGGAGACTTGCTTATTAACGGACTATTTCTGAACTTTTTTTTTTTTT